ACATTTTCTAATCCACTTCTCCTCACAAGGGTTGCGGGCGTGCTGGAGCCTCTTGGTGCAGTATAGGCGGGGTACACCCTGAACCGGTTGCCAGCCAATCTCAGGGCACACATAAACGAACAACCGTTCACCCTCACACCTTGGGACAATTTAGAGTGCTCCGTTTACCTGTCATGCATGTTTTTGGGATGTGAAGAGGAAACCGGAGTACCCGCAGAAAACACACGCAGGCAGGGGTAGAACTTGAAAATGCCACACAGTAAGGCCGGAGCCGGAATCGAACCCTGCACTTGTGCACCATGAGGCGGACATGCTAACTTGTCAACCACCGTCCCGCCCTACATAAACATTGTCTCGCCGTTTAAAAACAGTTTCATGTCAAATGTGGAGAACATTAATATGTTGGGTGTGTGTCGCAGCCTGTCAGTCAGTGGCTAGCCAACTCGTTCCTAACGTTGGTAACTCACATTAGCAGCTGGCTCTTTTGCCTGAAACATGACTGACAATTATTATATAAATTAGCCCTATCATTTTGAAATATCATAAATGATTCCCATCTTCTGTTCGGCACTTACTGTCCCTTACTTGACACAGCTAGGCAGTCGGCAGCTAGCTTGCAAATAGTGGTGAGTGCTAGCAACTCACAGCCCTTGCCTGCGCCTGGAGCGTGGTGACATTGCTATTTTTGTGCAACTATTGAGGCGTATTTTTCTTTGAAAATGTCTCACGCAGCTCATTTGTTTATTACCAGTTGTCAGCCGGCGCTACCGGCAAACATCAGCAGTCATCTCCCATGCCGAGAGCATAATGCTGGTTTGACCTTTCAGGTTTTTGAGACCTGCACTTCACTTTTCAAGTCCAAATTGTCTGACTTTTTAGGCATGTGGTACACCTCCTGTTACCGCTTGAATGAATTGAATGTTATATTTTCTCAAGCACATGATGTTGTTTTTCAATTAGACCACCATCTCACTGCCAAATTTCCTGATTGAAACTGCATCCAGGAGAAGTGGGTAGTGTGTGTATAAAAAAAAAAGGATATTCATTAGAGACAGCTTTTCATCCTTTGAACATAACATGTGCATGCAAATTCTCGTGCACGTCTCTACACGCACTAATTCTGACTGAGCCATTAAGCTGCAGAAGCCCGAGGTTTCAGTCATTACCCCTGCTCTTTGTCACGTTGGTGCTAACTGAGAGAAATGTTTTTAAACTAATGAGGGGCCTGAGCTGGGCTGCACACAGCACACACTGTTGCGATCATACGGCTTTGTTGCGCCCTTCGCACACCCTTGACAGATACTCCGAAAACCGTGCGCGCGTGTCTATGGCTGCATAGGCCCTAATTAAGCCACGGCCCCTGTCTTCTTCATGTGTTCGAATTTAGGAAAAAAAGAAGACAATGCAGTGACTATGTGGAAGGAGGGGTCTTGTGGTACATCGAAGGTCACCCACAGTCCATTCCATGACATTGGTCAACATTTAATTGATTTACAAAAGTGATTTCCCATTCACTCATCCATTTTCTATGGTGCTTATCCTCATTAGGGTCGGTGTGGTGGGGGGGATCAGTCGGAGCCTGTTCCAAATGACTTTAGGCGAGAGGTGGGGCACATGCTGTACTGGTTTCCAGCCAATCCCAAGGCACGTTTCGGCAAACAGTCCTTTACATTCACCGATGAACAAATTGGTTTTAATTGGATCAAAGAGGCAAGTTTTTGGAATGCGGGAGGAAGCTGGAGCACCTGGAGAAAATCCACACAAGCACGGAGAGAACATCCGAGCTCCAAACAGGCAGGCCAGAGCCTTGTCAAATGGCTAACACAATCTTAAAACACACGCCAATGCCTGACAAAGTACTTGGCGTTAGCGCTGTATTTTGTTCACATCGTCGCATACAATGAAGTCATGTCAGCATAATCCCTCGGTAATCCCCAAGCAATGAAAGGGTTGTGTTACTCTTACTCTTATTGCTCCACCGAGTGCACACATGCACAACAATCCCAACATTGAACTAACAATCGCTTATAGGTCGTTTCTGACAGTTTGGGTATTTCATGTCGCAGCAGGGCTTTGAAATAGTTTGGCTTGCCGCAGCCATATTCACAAGCATCAAACACTCGGCCCGCTTCCCCTTCCTGCCCTCCTGGAAAGGCAGGCAGAGAGAAAAGACCTTTGCTTTGCCTTGTACCCTTTCCATCTCTCCATCATCTCCTTCTTTCATCTGCCACTGCCTTCTCTGCTTCGGTCTTCCTTTCCCTCTTCTGTTGTCGAGGACGTGATTAGGAACACAATAATAAGAGGTGAAATGGACAACTTCCCGGCAATTTACATGGAGACGTCGAGGTCAAAACAATCTCGAACCTGGGAAAATCCTTCACGGGCGTACAATATTTTGCTCAGATACAATACTCCTTTTTAACACGAAGGATTAATGTACCCAATGAAACTGAAGTGGAACACACGAACATTGGAAAGGGACTGTTGGGGCAGTGTTTTATATACTGTGTTATACAATTGATGAAAGAGTGCAGGGAGTCCTCAGTTCACTCTAGTGATGTTCCTAAAGTCAGAATGCACCGTAATCCATCACTAACCTACGATAACGCAGAAGTCAAGTCATAAGTACGGCAAATGTTTTAATTTTTCTGAGTACTGAGAGCTCACTTTCTAGTTTATGCATTTACTTTTTCTCAGAAATGAAACAAACTCTGTTGAACCTCTCTATTTGGATTCTTACACGTTACAAATTAAGCCTCGTCTATTGTATAATAGTGGACGCTTGTTTCTGATTTTGTCTGATGTCATCTGGCATTTGCTGATGTTTGTTTTGTGAGATTGCGCACTGTGCGTGTTTTAAAAAAAGTGACATTTTAGTTACTGCTGTGAAATGGCCCCCTTTTTGTTAAACCAGCTGGCATCTCGAGCCATCTAACCAATTTCTCTTTTGCTGCTTAAAAAACAGTGCTTACTGAATTTGGAGACTTCAAAAACATAAAGAACATTAAAAAACAAAACAAAAACAAGTCGTCCGCCTGCTGACATGTCCTCGGTCATGAGCTGAGGTCTGTTTTTGTGACCCCCCTCCAACACATGACCTCGCATAAGAGTGAGGTCACCATGAGCTTTCCTTCCCAAGGTGATTTTGCTTTGCTGTCGCATTGTTCCGTGTAGAATGTGGCGCCGCCGATGTGTAGCCGGGGTGTGACCGGCACGAATTGATAACATGCTAACAATGTGCTGGCATTGCAGATTACTTGCAGGTTGGTCAAGTTTATGAAATGTCATCATTGGTAAGACACTAATGAGATTGTAGTCATGCTTTAACTTTGACTAGAGTGAAATCTGTAAGGTCAAACACAAAACATTTCAAAACTATTTTTCCCCTTGGGGAAAAAAAAAATCTCTTCCATGGTCAAATTGCAACCATCATGAAACATTAATAATGCAGGACAGGTGATTTTTTTTTCTTTCTTGCAAGTAGAAAAGTAGAATAACACCATCTGCTGATAGTCGAGATAGGCAACTAGCACTGATTCACAAAACACAATTTTTATATTGAAAATGATCTATTTGCTGGGGGACACACCTATTTGATCGTATTCATGTATTTGCTCATTCTGTAACGCCCAAACATCCTGCTTCTTCGAAGGCACCATGTTGGCAGAAGGTTAGCTAGCGTTGGCCACTCTCTGATAGCAGGCTTGCTTGACAGTGAACATCAGCATGTTGCGTGTCGAGTTATCCGCTGATAATGGCTCTCTGCCCAACGTAAGGTACAATAAATCCCTAACTAAAGATAGTCATTTGCAATATAAGTCTTTTTGTTTTTTTTTAGATGGAATGAGTGTATCACTGAGTCAGAAACATAATAAAATGGCTGAGAGGAAAGTAGTAATTGGTATTTTTACAGGGTGCAAAACCGGGACGTATATTTTAAGCATCCTCGAATTTCAGGTGCATTTCTTTTTTTTGAATCAAATAATCTAGAAAGCATTTATTTTCAAGCGTAATTTAAAATGAGTTTGAGATAATCCGAAAGTGTTTTGTCGCCACTTTGGCCTATAGTGTTGAAACTTGTGATATTGGCCTTTACAATTCGCAAATATGCTCTATTTGCAGGCAATCCTGTTTTCAAATTCTCGCAAATAGCGAGGTTTTTTTGACTTGATTTAAAATGACTTATAATCAGCACTTTTGGCAACTGTCCTAGTTGTTGCTTGTTTTTCATCCTTTTCTATCGTTGCATTATCAAATAACCCCATTCCTGATAAGATGTGCTAGGGAACACCCCTAATTTATGAGTTGTGACCAAACAGTCAAACCATCATGACTAAGCAATTTCTAGTCACATCACAGGAAAATCACATTTGTGTTAAAGTTTAAATTAGTCAATGGTGAAGTGCACGAATTCAAATTTTGGGGAGTATGGAGAAGAAGAGACGTGTTTACCAGTCTGATGCATTTAGGTGGAATCAAAAGTGAAGTCTTATCAAATTTTACCTTACCCTGTACATGACTTGATGATAAATAATGCAAAAGACACATTTTTATGATGCCAAACCTGACAGAAAATGCATTTCGCAAATGTTTGCCTGTTTGATTGCTGGTCATGGATTCAGCATTTTAATCAGTCTCTCATTGGCAGATCACTAAAATGTTGCATAAGTCTGGAAAAGCCTTGCTTGGAGTTTCTCCATGCATGTTTTGAATGTGCGCACATATCTCGTGCGAGCGTGCGTACCCAAAGAACAATTCTCACTATGGTTGGTATGCAACTGTTTTACTTTACAAAGCTGTCGCCTAACAACTGTCTCTGCTCCTTTTACTGCCAACCTAAAACAATACTTTACAACACCACAGGATACATGAAGTAGCACATTTAACCACATACAAAAGGACCGGACTTGTCGGTCCTGTTCGTAGTGTCTATGACGTTAATGACGCCTCCGTACTTGAGTTGAGCTTTCTTTTAAGATGTTCCTTCTTCCCTTGTTTAGGAGCGCACCAGGTCGTTTGACAGTTTCAACATGAACACTCTGGAAAGTTCCCTGATCGACATCATGCGGGCTGAGCAGGACAACCTGAAAGGTAAACACAGGGGCTCCCAGTTATGCAAACTGGCCTGACTATAATCCAGTATTGCACTCATTGTTTGTCACAAACGCAATCATCGCCGATTGTAGTAAATTGTTTGTAATCCTCATACTGTACTTTCCTTGTTCCATTTCTGGTTTTATGGTTGTCATTAGAAGTGCAATTGATCAACAATTTCAGCTTCTCGACAGAAAGCAAGACAACATTTTTTTGCCAGTTTTCTGACAACTGAATCAGAATGAATATTTGCCCATTTTCTGCTCTATCCATTTGAAATGAGGTCACATTTTTGAAAAAGGCATGGGAAGTGATATTAAAATGATTGGTTACACCCCTCATTACCTTTTTGCCATCACGAATATCTTTCTGCCGTCGTTTCACAAAAAGTCAAAGAAATAGAAAAAAACATGAATCCGACATTTTTTTTAAAAAATGCGTTATTTTCCATGCCGTCACACACAATCGTGGTTGAAACTGCATGTTTTGTTTACTTCTGAGGCGTATCTTCCCACCCCTTTTGGGGGGGGGGGGGGTTGAACTCCAAACTGTAACACTTCACGTTGTAGAGTCTTGTTGATTCAGTGTTGCTTCCACATACTCTTGTCTTTGAAATGCGCAGCTCATCGAAAATTGGCCGAAATTAAATTCTAACTGACTTATGTTATTGTATGACTGGAGAGAGCAGCCAATGACAATTATTGACTGAATGTTGTTATGCCACACGGCAGAAATAGGTCACTGGATGTGGCCCTGCATCTAGCGCGCCTTGTTTCATGTTGGAAATGACTGTAATTTTCTAGGTCTCTGACACAGCCAGTATTGACTTTGAGCCAGATGCATCATGTAACAAGTTCAGGGTATTGATACTTAGTTCTCAAGGCATTAGTAGTGCAGTTGAAAGGCTTTGTGTGAAGCATGGAGGTTTTATTCATGCTGGATAGGCCACGAAACTATCCTCAAAAATACTGTACAATCAAGTTTTTTTGCGCAAGATCACCAATCCTTGATCGAATGCCCATTATTTCTCAAGCAAATTTGTTGATAGAAATCTCCATCGTGGTCCTCAAAAACCTATGTTATCTGTTCAAAAGTAGCAACGATGATGTTCTCCAAACAATAGCCCAGCGTCTTGCGCAGCCCAAGTTTCACTTGAACAATTCTGAAATGAGCTCCACAAGACATGACACCTTTTATTTATTTGGGCCTCATACCCGTTGTGCTCAGCTAGCTCCAGCTGTGCTCTAATGTTGCGCTGTCAAAGTTAAAGTAAATCTTACCTTAATAATCTGAGACGAGCGCACATTTGTCCGCAGATCGGCCCAAACGCTTTAAAGCTCATAAAGCACTGTACAGAATTTGGACATCTAACCGCCATGATGCCCATGGTCAGTATAATCACAAGAGCTTGTTTAGCTTATGCTAGCCTACATTTGCATTTTACTTGTCATTAAAAGGTAATGCTTTATTTGTGTTAATATGTATTACATGAGTTGTTGAATTTATACGAAGCCAATGAAGAGAGGGGGGTCCTTGGTGGATGATAGTACGACATTTCAAAGTTACGAATGGCGCACAATTAATTAGTTAACCACAGCAGCGTTAGACTATCACATCCCTGGCATAGCTTTTTTTCATACTAATATGACTTTAAAAAAAACTTTTTTCCAAACTTGCAGCTGCCTGGTTATGCAGAACGCTGGCTCTGCCCTTTTGCCAGAGCCATTTTTCTGTGCAAGAGGGGAGTTTGATGTCCTGTACTCCCTCCGTGGTTGTTTGTGTTGTGATGGATATTTATTGGAAATGCAGTCGGACAGAACCAGGTTTGAGAGGAAACGTTGAGAAAAGAGAGAACACCGGAGAAAATAACAGAATAAAAGGATTTATGAGAACTGTAACTTGATATAACATTGTCTCTACAACCGATTCAAGCTTTAGGATGGCGATTAGTCTTAATTATGAAACAGATTATTTCAAACAATTGCTCCCCATGACAATTTTTAAATCGCCCAATCCCAAGGTCAACCGGCTTCAAGGTACCACGCTTCAAACCGTGAAGTACCACTTGGTGTTTTAAATCTGCACGATTAGGAATATAGCAGAAGCTTGTTTACTCTCATTTTTACCGCCTTAGTTATCTTCAGGCATCCTCCCCACATTTCTCTACGACAGTGCCTCTTTTCTTTCTCTGCCTCTTTCACATGATGCACCACGCCAGATCCAGCCTCACGGCCTCGTCCCGCACACTGTTGCTCAGTCTTTTGTGCTTTTTCCGCAGTGACGTCCAATATTTTATGACATGTGTACAGAGTTTAGCACTTACAAAGTCTAATAAAGCGACTGAACGCTTTCTCCAAAGTAGTGACTCCGGTTTGCTGTGTCATGCTCTCTCTACCCTTGCTCCAGAAACCCCGATGAGCAAACAAAATGTAAAAATGTACACGTCATGTTTTCGCACACATTCGGACCATAACTGTGCGCAAAGTTTGAGAAATCAAAGCAGACGGCCGGGGGGGGGACAAAATGTCGACTGTCGACGTGGCTTTGAATGGCTTCCAGCATTGTCTTGACTGACAGAAAGGATCCCTCTGTTCTGCCGTCCCACTACGCATCCACGCAGATGTACAGCAAACATGTTTGTGTGTGCTTGTGCATGCTTGTCTTTCAACGGCACTCGTGGAGGGTTCACGCCACGGGCGCACCCCACCCTGTCGACACGAGTGCAGCATACTTCTCATGAAAGATTAACATCCAATCAGCTGTGCTTTCATGTTGTTGTATAGGACCGCAGTTTTACTACGCAGAGTACGCCATAGCCTGGCGTAGTTCAGCTTGATGAGGTTCAACCGGAAAAAAAATAAAATCTTAGTTTCGGCGGCATCCCCTTAAACCAAGGGCGGTCTGTCCTGATTTGGGAAATCTAGGTCTCGTTTGATGCGCAGCATCCCTTCCATGCTGCCGGGTGCCATAACCACACTGTGGGGGAGGGACCTGCGGACTTGCATGTGACAGAGGCGTTGGAATGCACCAATCACAGGGTACTCGCTTGCCCGTACAACAATGGTTGTACTATTTCAGCTTTTTCATCTCATTATCCCCCCCACCACTGCAGAAAAGCGGGGCTTGTATAACTTTGAAGCTTGTTTGGCATCACAACATGCGCATTTGAGTTGTGTTGTTTATGGGCCTGGCAAACGGGGACAGAGTCTGACAGGACGCCCGCAGAGCGAGAGCTTTAGACAGGGCAATGGAGGTCGACGAGAGAGGGAGAGCGATGGGCTGGTGGCTCACAGATGTAAGCTCTAATGAGATTGATGTGGAGGCAACTGTCAGTGCGCTCGTGGACGCCGAATGAACTCTCCGAAAACAGCCTTATTCAAGTCGACAACTTCAGAACCAATTGGGCTCTTTAACTGGAATGATGTGCTGCGTTCTTTGCTGAAGTGCAGTGGAACCTCCAAATTGGAACACAAACTAGTTGGGGTCGCTTGTCTTTAATGTCTTTTAAGTTTTTTAATACTTTTCCCAATAGGAAATGATGTGAAGCAAATCGATTAGTTCCTAAGCTCAAATTGTTGCCCCAAAATGACAGGCCATGTTGTAAGTACATTTCCTTGCATTAACTGTAAAAGGTTTAAAGGTACCCGCTGTATTATCAAACTAAATAAACAATGAATATTAACAGGAAGGTATTTGCACTCAAGTTATTCGGGTGTTTTGATAGGCTTTGTCGCAGTGAATAAGCAGTGCGAGCCATAAATCAAATTCCTGCATCACAAGAGTTTGCTTTGCAGTCGGCATCATTAATTTGTTTCCTTTATGCCATATTCAGCGCCAATAGGGGCCATGATGTTAAATGTGACCGTTGTGTCTCTCCCTGTGCAGGTCGTCTGGGGTTCCCCCATCCTGGCGGGGACAACCCGCTGCCCCTCAATGGTACGTATGTCGACCTACTCAGGTTTTGGCTTTCATGGGCCTGTCGGCATTTGAAATGAGGGGTTCCGATATTCAAGAGCGATTCCAAACGTCACTCATAGAAGCTCTCACTTTGCAGCAAAGCTTGCCACGCAGTTCTAAAAACACCTCAGATAAACTGAGCCAAAGCACCGAACCCTCAAATTCCTCATCATAAGAAACATTGTGGTTCATTTTTGTCTTACATATTTTTGTAAATTTCGTATGACCCTCAGAGAATTACATCAAAACTGACATGGCCCCTGACAGGATGATATTCGTCACTTAAACTGTGTCGAAAAACCCGAAATGCGACACTTTGCTCATTTTGCGTTGTTGTAAAAAAATCAAGCAAGTCATTATATTTGTCATGCAGCGGTTCAATATTTAGCTACCTCCACGCTGTACTTTAAACATCACGCGCATTTTTGCATTCTGGTCTCGGGGCCGGGATGTAAACCGGCAATACCAGTCGTGTGGTCACGATCCTCTGCTCACGTGGGTGGATCACATGGTCTGGAGCTGTCATGGAGCCCTGAGACAGATGGTGCCAGCAGATAGGCAGGCAGGCCTGCGCACATCCCTCCCCTCACTCTTATTCCCCCCCCAGCTTTTTTTTTTTTTTTGCTTCTGCATCTTTCCAATCTATTTTCCTCTCTTGCACACGCTCATCTTTTTATAGAACTCTGATTCGTTTCAATCTGCTTCCTTCTTTTGCTCTCTCTGTCTGTCTTTCTCTCTCTTTTCTCCCTCCTCCGTCCCTCCCTCCCTCTCTCTTTGACCTTCCCCCAGAGTTAATGTCCATCTGGGTTGGAAAGTTCACTGTGGGAGCTGGGAGATTAGTGCTCGTGTGTATTCTGGCCTCTTCATCCTCTCTCGGTTGCGACTAGTTTTCGATGGCTCGGCGCTGCAATCTCTGCGGCGTGTACTGCGTCTCATACGTTTCAGAGCAGCTTTGGAGGACGCCATTGTGCTTTCAAAATGTGGGTGATAAGCGCCGTTGCGCCATTCAAGCTCTGTAGACGCAAGGGTCACGTATCGAGCATCGACTTGATAACCAACATCTTGCAGCGGAACCCACAACCCATCATTTAGTTTCTCAATCAATGGCATAAGAAAGTATGTCGACACTTTTTTACTGATAGTGTCCACAGTTCAACTAAAATGTTCTCGAAAAGCTTTCATCATCTGTTCCCTGAAAAACCTATTTGCGTGGTTTTGCGCTCTTTCTATAACCTCCGAAGATGCCACAAGGTGGTGGAAAATTCCTGGCTAAAAGGAAACAAGTAATTGTCGTTAATGACATATTGTTGAAGTGAAACGGCTCAGGAGTCCAACAACCGTACTGTATGCCGTTATCAGCCTTGGACCATTACTGTTGTTAAGATGACAGTTGGTGCCCATTTTTCTCACGTCCTCACCCAGTCTCTGTTCCTTGTCTCTTGTCAAGTGTGTGAAAATGCACTTAGTATTGGCTATTTATTTTTTAAGGTTAAATGTGATAACGAAATTGTTTTGGGATCATAGCCTCACAAGTCACATAATGGCTCAAAATGTCATCATACACCAAATCTAGTGGCGCTGCAATCTCTGCGGCGTGTACTGCGTCTCATACGTTTCAGAGCAGCTTTGGAGGACGCCATTGTGCTTTCAAAATGTGGGTGATAAGCGCCGTTGCGCCATTCAAGCTCTGTAGACGCAAGGGTCACGTATCGAGCATCGACTTGATAACCAACATCTTGCAGCGGAACCCACAACCCATCATTTAGTTTCTCAATCAATGGCATAAGAAAGTATGTCGACACTTTTTTACTGATAGTGTCCACAGTTCAACTAAAATGTTCTCGAAAAGCTTTCATCATCTGTTCCCTGAAAAACCTATTTGCGTGGTTTTGCGCTCTTTCTATAACCTCCGAAGATGCCACAAGGTGGTGGAAAATTCCTGGCTAAAAGGAAACAAGTAATTGTCGTTAATGACATATTGTTGAAGTGAAACGGCTCAGGAGTCCAACAACCGTACTGTATGCCGTTATCAGCCTTGGACCATTACTGTTGTTAAGATGACAGTTGGTGCCCATTTTTCTCACGTCCTCACCCAGTCTCTGTTCCTTGTCTCTTGTCAAGTGTGTGAAAATGCACTTAGTATTGGCTATTTATTTTTTAAGGTTAAATGTGATAACGAAATTGTTTTGGGATCATAGCCTCACAAGTCACATAATGGCTCAAAATGTCATCATACACCAAATCTAGTGCGACTTTAAGCAAAGTGAGTGGGAAACATTTTTCGTATTTTTAGTTTTTTTTGTTTTTTGGCAGACATCTAAATGTAACTGGAAAAATGCTTCTCAGTTGACAGTATTGTGCTTTCTGTTTGTCAGGCGTCTTCAAAGGGGGAAGTTTATTTGAGTTAACCTCACTTTTACACTTGCCATTCAAGGATGTGAGAATGTTACTTATAACATGCCGTAGTAAATATTTTATATACCTGACATATGTTAGCGTAGTTATGTGGAAACGACAATCAAACCGAGTAACCAGTTAGCCAACTAGCATATTGGAGTTGACGTGTTCCGCTTTGGAGGTTCCACTGTGCGATCATAGATTCATTGTCATAATTCTCAATGAATGATGAACAGAATGTTTGTCATAATTGGTACATTTTTAATTAGTCTTTTTTTTTTTCCCATCACCTGGAAGTGGGATCCATCTCGTGTTTGTATCGGACACGAATGGTATCGGTTCACTTTGCTGCCTTTTTGTGCAGTCAGCGTGGTTTCACTTCTCCCTTAGTGATGGTGTGAGTATGAATGAGTGTCTGTCTGTGTCCCGAACTTAGCTGGGATAAACTCCAGCAACCCATTACCCTGAACATAAGTGGTGTAGAAATGGATGCTTGTCATATCACAGCATAAAACTGGTGGAAAGTGCATGGAATGAAGGTTGAGATTTTTACGTACATAATCACGCCCAGTGGCAATTTAGCATCGTTTTTGGAATGTGACAGTAAATGAAAAACGCACACAAGCGCAGGGAGAACAAGTAAAACCCACCGAGACTCGAATCTCGGACCTCTCGACTGTAAAGCAAGACACGCTGACCATTCATGTTCATATTTCACAAATAACAAGTAGAATGTAATTCTGTTCTCAGCTGGTTTATGCAGTTGAGTGAGAAGAGACAACACTTATTTAATCAAAGTCGTCAGTGTATCCATATCCGGTGGTGGCGAAATGATTTCAAATGTCCTTTTATTTGTGTGCGTCGAGCTGCACACACAAACAACGATCATGCTGCTTTAGTTCCGTAGCTAACGCATAAATGAAAATGGTGGGTAACATCCTTTCTGCTATCACACAACCACCCGGCATGCTTACTGATACAATGTATGTCCGTCCTCTATAATCACCCTCTTCTTTGATTTCACATGCAGCCAGGAGTTATAGCAGGAGACGAGGTAACAACATAATCACGGACCTATCCGCATAAAGTCCACGCTGTCCATCTCACTGTTGCTTTGTGACGTGATGCCATTTTGTTCTGCTTCTATTGGCTTTTGGCTCCGCGCTCATATCAATTTCCAGTGATCCGTCATCTGCATGATTCTCCCAAGTGTTAAATGTGTGTCGTTTACAAGCTTATGTTTGCAATCTTGCGTTGGACTGCTTAACACATTTATACGCACGCATGTTATGCAAGAATATTGCCACTTGTTAGCATTTAGCTGAAATTTAATGAGGCACAGAAACAAGACTGGAGTCCAGGCACATGGTTGGACACACGCACACCACAATGCAGTGCAGTGCATCCTGTAAGCTGTAGCTGAGCTAACTCCCTGGCATAAATCTTTATAAAGCAGCTCAGGGCAGGTTGTATTGGAGCAGGCATAGGCAAGGGAGGGCTTAACCCCTCCAACACACCACACGCGCACTCACGCAATCCTCTGTCAAGCTATGTCGAGTGTAAGGCAACTTGTGTGCATGCTTGGTCAGTTGTACCCAACTATGCAGAAAAAAACGGGTTTTCTTTTTCTTCACGACGTTGCAGCAATCCCTCCACCCGTATTGCAGATTTTTCCAGTTATAAATATGTTGTGATTATATATGGTTTCTATGTATTTCAAAACATTTCACTGATTACAGGGTAAGAGGATTAGGTTGTAAAAAAAATATATATATATATATTTTTTACTTGGTATTTGTATTGGTGGGCTCAACGGTTAACTTTTATCATGACACGATGGCGATTATAGTTAAAAGTTGAATCATCGCCAATTGCATTTTTGGGTTTTAATAACACGGACACCTTGCTGAAATCAATAGGCGTTGTAATTGTGCAGCGGTGCTTCAAGCATGTGGAAATATTTGACTAAAGATGAAATCTGTAGGATGGTCATTTGCAAAACATGCACATTTATCCTCAAGTACTGTATAAGAAGTGCATGCCGATCTGGAACAGTGAAATGATAACAATATTGTCAACCATAGACTTAGATCATAGTCGGTAGGGAGCGAATACTGAGACAGTGAAATGCGGGCTAATTGAACATTTAATGTTGACAAAAAAAAAAATCTCAACAAGCTTTTCTGTCACTCATTAACCTTCATCTTATAGACATGCACACATTTGCAAATTCTCTTGCAACAAGTATGCAAATGGCATTGGATGCACACTATTGGGGGCGGGGCCTGTGGAACTCAAGACACCCCTGTAAAGTGAGTGAGTCAGCTTGCATTTGGTGGCGCACAGTGCAAGACAAAAAAAATATCAATGACATCTATCAAGTAATTGAAATCGACGGCACCTAAAAATCTGATCATTTCTATACATTTTTTTGGTGTTTTCAAATATACTTACAATGTCTTTTAGTGGTGCCCCGATTGATCGGACGACGATTGTGATCGACCAGTGTGTTTAAAAAAATGAATTTAAATGTTTACGTGTGTGGGTGGGGCATTTTAAGGCTGAGACTGTTTTTTATTTTTGTGGTTGCTCTATTTTGTGGATTGTCATTCTTGGGTCTGGAACGCGACTGCTGTCATGAACGTGTAGACTCTTATTTCGAAGTCGCTGGCAGATGGTGGTGTTGATATTAAAGACACAGTTGCGAAGGATGCCAGATTAAAAAGCATTGTTGCCGACCTCTTTCCTCAGGAAATCAACCTTTCTCTCTCCCCTCCTCTTTTGTTCCAGGCCATTCCTCCCTCTTTCCCATGGAGGATGGCTTCCCTGATGACGAGCGTGGCGATCAGGGTCTGGCAGGCCTGGGCTCTCCACACTGCTTTCCTCACCAGAATGGCGAACGCGTAGAGCGCTACTCACGGAAGGTCTTTGTGGGAGGATTGCCCCCAGATATAGATGAAGGTATACTCGCAGCTTCCGCATTGTATTTCTGGGCCATCCGAGATGTTCTGTGAAGTGCCAACGTGGTGATTTCACAAGAGGCAGTGGAAAAAAAGTTTCTGTTATGGGCGGGGAACTATGTGGACGTGTGTGAAATTGCTTTCTTTGTTGGGATTTTTTTTTTTTTAAGTTACTACAACTAAATACTAATACTACATACAAATATGAGTAAGAATTAAAAAAGTTAATATAAAATAATAGTGTAACTAAAATTGTAAAATTGTGACTTTAGGCATGAATATCTCAACTACTTTGGCTCGATTACATTTTTTTAAAAAATGACACTATTCTCTTATTTTATTGAGACAGTGAAATGTGGGTTAAATTTATTTATTGATTTTATCCTTGTAACAACACTGCTTTTTAAGTCAAATTAAAAATTTTGACAAACTATTTGTTGTTAATAATAATAATAAGAATGCTTTGTACGTAAAACACAAATGTGTTCGTCCAGGTTGCAAAATAACCTTAAAAAAAAAAAATATATATATATATATATATATATATATATATATATATATTCACACTTTTTTTCTTGTCAAATGATTACGTTCTAAAAATGTAGCTTTTTTTCTCTTTCAATAATTTTGGGGTCAAAATTATGATTATAACCATAGTTTCATGTTGACCTATTTTTTTTCTTGTACGATGCATTTGATTTTGTGAAATATTCTCATATGGCTTTCTTTCCTGTAAAATACCAGTTTAGCTTAGATTATTGTGACTTTTTTCTTTTAACAACTAAAATAACTGTCTTATTTTTGTATCTTATAGTGTTGTTGGTATTTGTTCTTTTCAATCTGATGCTGTTTTTTTTTTAATATATATATTTTTTAATAAAGCACATGAATAAGCAATCTCATTTTGAAAAACAAAACATAAAGTCCATTTTCTCTTGTCATATTTTCTTCTAGATGAGATAACTGCCAGTTTCCGGCGTTTTGGACACCTGTTTGTCGACTGGCCTCATAAAGCCGAGAGCAAGTCTTACTTCCCTCCTAAAGGTATGATGAACTAACAGCGGTGGTCGGGCACACCACCGGGACCGGTGTGACTTAATGCGGTTCTTACTTGGCACAGGTTACGCCTTCCTGCTCTTCCAGGACGAGAGCTCTGTGCAGGCTTTGATTGACGCCTGCATCGAGGAGGACGGAAAGTTGTACCTGTGCGTCTCCAGTCCCACCATCAAAGACAAGCCGGTCAGTGGGCATTGCCTGCAAACATCCGCCGGCTTTGCTCATGGTGTTTCAAACTTTGTCAAAGTTGATGAGACTTTGTTGACTTTGCGCGTGTCAGGTCCAGATCCGCCCGTGGAACTTGAACGACAGTGATTTTGTAATGGACGGATCTCAGCCTTTGGACCCAAGGAAAACAATTTTTGTTGGCGGTGTCCCTCGCCCGCTTCGTGCAGGTAGGCTTTTGGTCAGGCAGTTTTCTGTCAGGTAACACAAACAGTGGCACAATTACTTGTTTGTCTAATAAAGTGTGAACACGAATCAGAACATTGTTACACCAACTGGCCGATACGCAACTCTTCTCAGTTTGTTTGCTGTGGTTTGGGAGCAGTTTCCCTAAAAATCACTTGTGTAAATCACAGAAGGGTTAGAAGTTAAAGGAGACTCATGAATTGGTTTTGATTAGGGAAAGCAAGCTCGTGACAAGAGAGCATACATCACTTGAAAACAAACCTGCATCTTTAACCCACTAATTACAAACCTTAAAAATGTCACAGACACAAACAAAAGTACCATTTGTGTGTTTTGTACTTGGTTTGGGGCTAGAACGGATTCAAGTTCAGATTCCAAGGATTTTTCAGTCTGTTAAAATTCATAATCACATTGAAGATGTTTTGTAACACATACACAAATACACAAATTGTCAACCACAGGTCGATAAAAAAACAGATTTGAATTACTCCTTGTCAGTGTTTCAGAACTCTACTCTAGACACCACTGCTTTTACCGGAATTGGCGTTTTAGTGGCTGACCGGCACGCTGCACCATAGAGATGTGCAGTTTGAGCCGATCAGGACATCGGAGCCGGTCAGTGGAAGAGAAAGTGAAAGTGATGATTGTGACAACGCCTCTGAAGAGCTTGTATTAGAATCGGCACCGTATCGCGCACAGCGGATTGGAAATACAGCCCGGTATGTTTTTACACCCCTGTATCTTGATAGATATATTTTTGTTCTGGCAACCAACTCAACTTTAAAGACATGAACAGTCGGCCGTGCTATGCGTGTGGGATTCACATTAATGGGTCGGCCGTACATGAAATATTCCAGTGTGGGGACAGTCTTGAATGACATTTTCCATGCATGTAAATTGTAGATGTTTATCATATGCACAGTAAAAAGAAGGGTGCTTCTAATGCGGCAGACAAAAAGGCTTTGCTGTGTCGGGTGGCTTGCCATGTAGGCCTAAGTACATATTACACTACTTTTTATTTATTTATTTATTTTATCCCCCTCCCAACTGCTCAATTCATAATCACCATCGTGACGTGTCGTAGGTGCATGCAAATAACTCCTCACCTCTTGCCTTCTCGAATGCACCACAAAGACCAGGGTTCTTGCCCTGCCCTCTCCCCGCTGCTAGGCATTGAAGTTGCGTTTGCAGAGGGAAAAATCGTTGCTATTTTCATCCTGGGTCGAACCGCACTCCCTGCCGATTGCCGTTCCGATCCACCGGTCACGTGTTTCTTTATCCTTCGGAAAGCCGAAGACATTTTTGCCACTCCCTTCAGCATTCGTGCAACCAACTGCCACATGATGAATGGACCATTGTTGAAGTGCTGAAGCCCGTGGAGAGCGACTGAACACGGAAGAGCCCACGACTGCATGCCACCGCAGCCACCAAATTGTTTTGTCTTCTGTGACGTGAGATTGCAACCGCACATTTTGAATTGTATTTAGTGATTATTATGCATTGTAAAGGGGTTCTAGAGGTGTCAAGAAAAACGTTCCAATCTTTGGTCTCTGTCTTTTTAAGGTCATTTCCATCCATTTCAATGCAAAGGTTAGGAATCACGGCCATGGTCAAGGAACCAGTTAAACTCGTATCTCAAGGAACCACCTTATTGCGTGAAAGTACTCCCTGGGAAATGTAATCCTATTTATAACATGGCCACTTTTGCTGATGGTGAGGTGTAAATTTGATCCAGTTGGCATGAAAAAGGTCCACAACGTAAGATGTCAGATACCCTTTTGAATTGCCAATGTGGAAGCTCAGGAATCAAAGTAGCAGAAGATACCCGTGATTTCAATTTTGAGCACTGCTTCCTATGGTGTTGCAATGCAAACATAAGGCGTGGATGATGTGCAGATGCATCTGCAATCTGTCCTGCTTTCCCGTTTTAGCTCCCAACCAGTTTTCGTCGCGCTGTTCATGTTTAACTCGGCTTTGATCAGTACGATCTTGGCGCTTTATCCCTGCTCATGTGTTCCGACATTTGCTTAATTGCTTCGCTGCCAGTCTTTGAAATGTCAGCTGTAAGCAAATGCTCGTTGGTGTTCTGACACGTGATAGGCTTGTGTTGGGGCGCAGCGCTCACACCCGGTGTGCCGGAGTTGCTGAAATCATCAGCTTTCACCTTCACACCTCCCCTGCGCTCTCTGTGGCACCCTTTGGAATATGAACTTGCGGGATTTAATATTTTAATCCTGATTAGGTGTGCAAGTATGTGTGTGTTTGTTTGTGTGTTTTAGATTGCAGTGCTGTATTTGTGTTAATGCCAGCGATCAAACGGCTATGGACTGTTGGCATTTCTATTGTAGAGTGTAAAGTCTTTTTCGTTTTTCCAAAATTCACATTTTAGTTTCCTTTAAATTATATGATTAATCCCAAAATCGGATGAACGAAGGTCTCAAAATGTCGTTTCTTTTTGTTGAGCATTTTACTGCACCTTGTAAGTGGCAATGAACGTATACATGTTTCAAACTGAATAGAATGTTGGTTTATTCTAGGATATCAAGCATATGATTTAGATTATCAGTCCAGGGAAAGGAGAGGTTTCACATTTGATGGACATGGCCTTAAGAAGGTCTCAAGTTCTGAATTTTGGCTTCCTGAAAGGTCCGGTGTGAAGTCACCTTACCCAACCAGCTTTGGGGGAATATTTAGAGCAGTGGTTCTTAACCTGGGTTCGATGGAACCCATAGGGGTTCAGTGAATTGGTCTCAGAGGTTCGACAGCCTCTGCCATGGAGGGTAAGGCACACCCGACTCAACATGTCAATTAGTTATGACACTGACTGGTTCATTTTGTGCACAATTAAAAAAACGTATACTTATGTCTTGAAATTTTATTTACTTTTTTTTTCTGTTTTTAATACATGCATTTTTTATCTCGAATTTGTAAAAAAAAATATATTTTTATTTTTCACTAATGAAGGGTTCGGTGATTGTGCAGATGAACTGGTTGGAGGTGAAGAACCACTGATCTTTAATGTGTGTTTTTCGCCCCAAAACCATGACCATGTATATATAGTAAGACGTTTTTGGCCGGAAAAAAAAACGACCATGTATATAGTAAGGCGTTTTTGGCCGAAAAAAAACGACCATGTTATAGTAAGGCGTTTTTGGCCGAAAAAAACGACTATGTAAAGTAAGGCATTCGTGGCCGAAAAAAAGACCATGTATAGATAGTAAGGCGTATTTAGCTGAAAAAAAAACCGACCATATATAGTAAGGCATTTTTAGCCGAAAAAAACAACCATGTATAGAAAGCCATTTTTAGCTGCAAAAAAAGACCATGTATAGTAAGGCATTTTTAGCGGAAAAAAACGACCATGTATAGTCAGGCGCTTATAGCTGAAAAAAACGACCATGTATCGTAAGGCGTTTTTAGCCTGCAAAAAACGACCATGAAAAGTAAGGCGTTTTTAGCCGAAAAAAACAACCATGTATAGGAAAGGCATTTTTAGCTGAAAAAAACGACCATGTAAAGTAAGGCATTCTTGGCCGAAAAAAAGACCATGTATAGATAGGAAGGCGTTTTTAGCCCCAAAAAACGACCATGTATAGAAAGGTGTTTTTAACCACAAAAAACGACCATGTATAGTAAGGCGTTTTTAGCCGAAAATAACGACCATGTAAATTAAGGCATTCTTGGCCGAAAAAAAGACCATGTAAGGCGTATTTAGCCGAAAAAAACAACCATGTATAGTAAGGCATTTTTAGCCGAGAAAAACGACAATGTATAGTAAGGCATTTTTAACAGAAATTTTTAGCCAAAAAAAAATGACCATGTATATAATAAGGCGTTTTTAGCCGAAAAAAATGACCGTGTATTGCAAGGCGTTTTTTATATCGAAAAAAACGAGCTTTTTTTGAACGACCATGTAAATGAAGACCTTTTTGGGTTCTCTCAATTCAGATATGTATAGGACTTTTGGGTTGTTACTAATGAGCTTGGTATAGCAGCGCAGCCGTGGTCCACTGGTTAGGGCGTTACCTTAACAGTGGGAAGGTGACGGTTCGAATCCAGGTCTCGTCCATCATCTGCAGAGATTGCACATCAAGCTTTTTTTTTGAACGACCAGGTATGTAAAGGCATTTTTGGGTTGATACTGATGACCTTGGTACAGCAACCCCACCGTGGTCCACTGGTTAGGGCGTCAACTTAACAGTGGGAAGGTGCTGGTTCGAACCCAGGTCTTGGCAATCATTTGCAGAGTTTGCATATTAAGCTTTATTTTGAACGACCATGTATATGAAGAATTTTTTGGGTTGTTACATAGAACTGCAATAAAGCACCCTCACTCTGGCCGACTGGTTACTGTGTCAGCTTACCAACGCAGAGGTGCAGTGTTCAAATCCAGGTCTTGGCCATCATCTGCAGAGTTTGCATATCAAGCTTTTTTTGAGACCAGATAGGTATTGGACTTTTGGGTTGTTACGTATGAGCTTGGTATAGCAGTGCCACCGTGGTCCACTGGTTAGGGCGTCAGATTAACAGTGGGAAGATGCCGGTTCGAATCCAGGTCTTGGCCATCATCTGCAGAGTTTGCATATTAAGCTTTTTTGAATGACCAGTTATGTAAAGGCCTTTATAGGATGTTACTTATGAGCTTGGAAAAGCAGTGCCACCGTGGTCCACTGGTGAGGGCGTCAGCTTCACAGTGGGAAGATGCAGGATTCGAATCCACGTCTGGGCCTTCATCTGCAGACTTTGCATATGCAGTTAGGCTTTTTCTCATGACCATGTATAGGAGGGCGTTTTTCACCCCAAAAAATGTACGTCGTTTTTTGCAGCAAAAAACCCGACCATGAAAAGTAACGCTGAAAAAAAACGACCATGTATAGTAAGGCGTTTCTAGCCGAAAAAAACGACCATGTACAGTAAGGCGTTTTTAGTTGAAATTTTTAGCTGAAAAAAATGCCCATGTATAGTAAGGCGTTTTTAGTCGAAAAAAACGACCATGTATAGAAAGGCGTTTTTAGCCGAAAAAAATGACCATGTATAGGAAGGCGTTTTTAGCTGAAATTTTTAGCTGAAACAAATGACCATGTATAGTAAGGCGTTTCTAGCCGAAAAAAACGACCATGTACAGTAAGGCGTTTTTAGTTGAAATTTTTAGCTGAAAAAAATGCCCATGTATAGTAAGGCGTTTTTAGTCGAAAAAAACGACCATGTATAGAAAGGCGTTTTTAGCCGAAAAAAATGACCATGTATAGGAAGGCGTTTTTAGCTGAAATTTTTAGCTGAAACAAATGACCATGTATAGTAAGGCGTTTCTAGCCGAAAAAAACGACCATGTACAGTAAGGCGTTTTTAGTTGAAATTTTTAGCTGAAAAAAATGCCCATGTATAGTAAGGCGTTTTTAGTCGAAAAAAACGACCATGTATAGAAAGGCGTTTTTAGCCGAAAAAAATGACCATGTATAGGAAGGCGTTTTTAGCTGAAATTTTTAGCTGAAACAAATGACCATGTATAGTAAGGCGTTTCTAGCCGAAAAAAACGACCATGTACAGTAAGGCGTTTTTAGTTGAAATTTTTAGCTGAAAAAAATGCCCATGTATAGTAAGGCGTTTTTAGTCGAAAAAAACGACCATGTATAGAAAGGCGTTTTTAGCCGAAAAAAATGACCATGTATAGGAAGGCGTTTTTAGCTGAAATTTTTAGCTGAAACAAATGACCATGTATAGTAAGGCGTTTCTAGCCGAAAAAAACGACCATGTACAGTAAGGCGTTTTTAGTTGAAATTTTTAGCTGAAAAAAATGCCCATGTATAGTAAGGCGTTTTTAGTCGAAAAAAACGACCATGTATAGAAAGGCGTTTTTAGCCGAAAAAAATGACCATGTATAGGAAGGCGTTTTTAGCTGAAATTTTTAGCTGAAACAAATGACCATGTATAGTAAGGCGTTTCTAGCCGAAAAAAACGACCATGTACAGTAAGGCGTTTTTAGTTGAAATTTTTAGCTGAAAAAAATGCCCATGTATAGTAAGGCGTTTTTAGTCGAAAAAAACGACCATGTATAGAAAGGCGTTTTTAGCCGAAAAAAATGACCATGTATAGGAAGGCGTTTTTAGCTGAAATTTTTAGCTGAAACAAATGACCATGTATAGTAAGGCGTTTCTAGCCGAAAAAAACGACCATGTACAGTAAGGCGTTTTTAGTTGAAATTTTTAGCTGAAAAAAATGCCCATGTATAGTAAGGCGTTTTTAGTCGAAAAAAACGACCATGTATAGAAAGGCGTTTTTAGCCGAAAAAAATGACCATGTATAGGAAGGCGTTTTTAGCTGAAATTTTTAGCTGAAACAAATGACCATGTATAGTAAGGCGTTTCTAGCCGAAAAAAACGACCATGTACAGTAAGGCGTTTTTAGTTGAAATTTTTAGCTGAAAAAAATGCCCATGTATAGTAAGGCGTTTTTAGTCGAAAAAAACGACCATGTATAGAAAGGCGTTTTTAGCCGAAAAAAATGACCATGTATAGGAAGGCGTTTTTAGCTGAAATTTTTAGCTGAAACAAATGACCATGTATAGTAAGGCGTTTCTAGCCGAAAAAAACGACCATGTACAGTAAGGCGTTTTTAGTTGAAATTTTTAGCTGAAAAAAATGCCCATGTATAGTAAGGCGTTTTTAGTCGAAAAAAACGACCATGTATAGAAAGGCGTTTTTAGCCGAAAAAAATGACCATGTATAGGAAGGCGTTTTTAGCTGAAATTTTTAGCTGAAACAAATGACCATGTATAGTAAGGCGTTTCTAGCCGAAAAAAACGACCATGTACAGTAAGGCGTTTTTAGTTGAAATTTTTAGCTGAAAAAAATGCCCATGTATAGTAAGGCGTTTTTAGTCGAAAAAAACGACCATGTATAGAAAGGCGTTTTTAGCCGAAAAAAATGACCATGTATAGGAAGGCGTTTTTAGCTGAAATTTTTAGCTGAAACAAATGACCATGTATAGTAAGGCGTTTCTAGCCGAAAAAAACGACCATGTACAGTAAGGCGTTTTTAGTTGAAATTTTTAGCTGAAAAAAATGCCCATGTATAGTAAGGCGTTTTTAGTCGAAAAAAACGACCATGTATAGAAAGGCGTTTTTAGCCGAAAAAAATGACCATGTATAGGAAGGCGTTTTTAGCTGAAATTTTTAGCTGAAACAAATGACCATGTATAGTAAGGCGTTTCTAGCCGAAAAAAACGACCATGTACAGTAAGGCGTTTTTAGTTGAAATTTTTAGCTGAAAAAAATGCCCATGTATAGTAAGGCGTTTTTAGTCGAAAAAAACGACCATGTATAGAAAGGCGTTTTTAGCCGAAAAAAATGACCATGTATAGGAAGGCGTTTTTAGCTGAAATTTTTAGCTGAAACAAATGACCATGTATAGTAAGGCGTTTCTAGCCGAAAAAAACGACCATGTACAGTAAGGCGTTTTTAGTTGAAATTTTTAGCTGAAAAAAATGCCCATGTATAGTAAGGCGTTTTTAGTCGAAAAAAACGACCATGTATAGAAAGGCGTTTTTAGCCGAAAAAAATGACCATGTATAGGAAGGCGTTTTTAGCTGAAATTTTTAGCTGAAACAAATGACCATGTATAGTAAGGCGTTTCTAGCCGAAAAAAACGACCATGTACAGTAAGGCGTTTTTAGTTGAAATTTTTAGCTGAAAAAAATGCCCATGTATAGTAAGGCGTTTTTAGTCGAAAAAAACGACCATGTATAGAAAGGCGTTTTTAGCCGAAAAAAATGACCATGTATAGGAAGGCGTTTTTAGCTGAAATTTTTAGCTGAAACAAATGACCATGTATAGTAAGGCGTTTCTAGCCGAAAAAAACGACCATGTACAGTAAGGCGTTTTTAGTTGAAATTTTTAGCTGAAAAAAATGCCCATGTATAGTAAGGCGTTTTTAGTCGAAAAAAACGACCATGTATAGAAAGGCGTTTTTAGCCGAAAAAAATGACCATGTATAGGAAGGCGTTTTTAGCTGAAATTTTTAGCTGAAACAAATGACCATGTATAGTAAGGCGTTTCTAGCCGAAAAAAACGACCATGTACAGTAAGGCGTTTTTAGTTGAAATTTTTAGCTGAAAAAAATGCCCATGTATAGTAAGGCGTTTTTAGTCGAAAAAAACGACCATGTATAGAAAGGCGTTTTTAGCCGAAAAAAACGACCATGTATAGTAAGGCGTATTTAGCTGAAATTTTTAGCTGAAAACAATGACCACGTATAGTAAGGCGTTTTGAGCCAAAAAAAA